CGCAGACCTGCCGGTGCTGTCGCGTGAGGAGGCCCACCCGACCATGCACAAGCACGCGTGCGAGTCGTGCTTCGACGCGAGCCAGTGCGCGTCGGGCCTGTGCCACCAGCGCAAGTGCCTGGTCGACGCCTCCGCCGCTAGCGTGGCCGCCTGCTTCCACCCCGAGTGCGCCCCGTGCGAGACCCGCCTCACTTGCGCTTCCAACCGCTGCCTGGAGGCCCCCACTGGAAAGAAGTGCGTCCTGTTCACCGACGCCAGCATGCACAAGTGCTTCCCCGACTTCTACCCACCGCCCACGCAGGCCCCGTCCGCCGCGAACACCGCCACGCTCTGAGAAGCGCAAGGGGGAGCTGCCTTGCTTTGCCGGGCGCCGGACGCTAGGCTGCGGTGGAGGTCGCGTTTGGAGTCGTGTCGATTTGTACAAGTTGTAAATTTCGCTTTAGGAGTGCAATCTTCACTCTTCTCACTTCTCTACATCACTTTTCAAACTTGTTTTGCTCTTTGCTCTTATACCGTGTATTTGATCCATAACAAATGCAAAAGTAACTTTGCTAGCGCAGGTGACTTGAGCTTTGCTGTACATCACATACGTACCAGTGCAGCCTTTTTGTTCATCCTCACCCACTGTTTACCAAATCCCTCCCTCTTATCTACTGTACAAAAGAAGAATGCGCGCAGTATAACTACATCAATTTCTTCGCTACTGAAGGCATTCAAATCTGCTGCACCAAGGTTTTGTCGAGGGCAAGTACGTTGAAGAAGTTGTAGTCAAAACCGAATGATTTCATTTCATGTTAGCCACAAAAAGGGCTTCCTGCAGGTGAGGCACATGGCTTGACATCTAGGTAAGGATGAGTCCTTATGCTTAAACCAGCCCATGAGAAGATCGACCTAATTGCCCAATCAGTGCGACAAGCCCGCCAAAAGAAAGCGTCTGGCCTGGTGCTGCATCTGCCCCAAATCCGGTACGAGGCTAATTTAAGACGAACGCGCTGCTATGTACGTAGAGAAGGATACCTAGGGAAACAAGTGATTACCAGAATACCGCACAGTAGCATGTCCAAAAAAACATACAACATTACCTTTCGCCTCTCACACTATCTCGATACTTATTCTCTTCAGATCGCGCATGTCTTCCATCGCAGACCAACAGAGCTGGAAAAACACACACAGATAGCCTGGTAAATATACTTCACACTGCGCCACAGGTCTTTCGACTGTTGCGTTTGCAGATTTGGTCATGTGTGGGTGGGTAGCTCTCCATTTTCAAATCTCGAATGGAAGAGGGAACCGCCGTCGAGCGAACCGCCGTCGATTGCGTAGACGGAAAAATATCTTGTCGGCGATGATAGAGCATGGAAAAGCGGAGAGCAAGAATGGTCCATTCTTCAGATTTGTCAAATCTAGGGACTGTTGCACCACGCTCTCCGAGCTTCTGCAAATCGCCGTGTGGCGATGACGTGGTATTAAAATCGTTCAAACTGGTAGAATCGCTGTTGGCAGCCTCTTCAATGTGTCTGCGGATTCTCATTTTCCAATTCTTCCGCGGTCCGACCGGAACCTGGTCCAACGCTCGCTCGTAGAGCAGAACAAGGTACAACAACAGGCACTCATTTCCAGTCTTTCCCCTGCTTATTTTTATATGCTTGAGATAGATGGCGAAATCGAGCAATTCTTCAGATGACAGAAAAGTGCCGCACAAGCGCGTTGAGTCGTGCCACGTCCAGGCGCGCGCTGCATCGAATACGTCGGCCGCCAAGGGAAGTCGCCACTCTGCTTGCCCTTAATGCGGAGCGCAGGTAACACAAGAGTGCCCTCGATGAGTACCTAGTCGGCGTTGGTAACAACAGGCGAGCTCTATCTTACTGGCCTTCTTTTCGGTGCCATTTCGAATGACAAGACTTTTCTTTCTAATGACGGTTGCGATCGGATTCCTGAACGGGACACGTCTGCCAGTTGCCTTTATTTTCAGAGTTTCAGAATTAATGAGGGGGCGGCTCGGTTGCGCATTCCTTCTCGAGAAGGGCGTGCAGGAACATCTCAAGACACTTTCCAGTGTTGTGCGATATTGAATTATGAGGAACCTTCCGAAGAAAGACTTGCATCAGACCTCGGAGTTCCAATATTTGTCCCATGGCAGCTCCACGGCTCGTACGACCTTACTCTTCACTCCCTTGGCACCTTTTCAGAATAAAAAACCAAGTTTTCATCGTCCCGACGTTGTCAGCATTCTCGATGGCGCTCTCATGAAGCATTCTGGATGGCACTCTCGTAAAGCTCCATAGCTCGAACCGCGTCCCGCTGCACTCCCTCGCCACCTTTTCGCAGCAAATTACCAAGATTACCCATGGCGAGGACGTTGTCACCCTTCTCGATGGCGCTCTCATAAAGCTCCATAGCTCGTACCGCGTCTCGCTCCACTCCCTCGCCACCTTTTCGCAGCAAATTGCCGAGACAAACCATGGCGTGGATGTTACCCTTCTCGATGGCGCTCTCAAAAAGCTCTATAGCTCGTACTGCGTCTCGCTCCACTCCCTCCCAACCGTCTACCAGCAAATTTCCAAGATTCTTCATAGCAGTGACGTTGTTACCCTTCTCAATGGATCTCTCATAAAGCTCCATAGCTCGTGCCGCGTCTCGCTCTACTCCCTCGTCACCTTCTACCAGCAAAACACCGAGATTAGTCATCGCGTCGATGTCACCCTTCTCGATGGCTCTCTCATAAAGCTCCATAGCTCGAATCGCGTCTCGCTCTACCCTTCTCACAGGCTCAATCTGTGACAAGGCTCAAATTGTGACACCAAAATTATAATGCCGCGCTGCATAGTTTCGCGCATATGATTTTGCTAAACTATTTCGCAACGAATTAAATATATTCGTTTGATGAAACATATTCACATGCTCTTACAAACGGTCAGTTTTCTGCTCATGCTTTTGCAGAGGTTTCCGTCGCTCTCAATAATGATTATGTGTTGCGCAACATTCTGAGAAAGAATATATGCCTGTCAAAGAACCCCACACCTAAGAAATCTAATAGAAAATTCCTCGCAACAGGAAACGCAGCGACGGTTGGCAATTTGCAGTCCGTTCGTGCTCGTTTCGAGGGGCGGAATCCTCCAAAAGCGCCCGTACCCAACGTTTATCACATTCAGGAGTTTAATGTAGAGAATGATACTGCAAACAAAAAAAATATTGACTCTCAGAAACGTCTGAAAGCGCAGTCTGCGGTGTCGCCTCTCGAAGACATAGTTTGCGACGACTTGCCAATTTCGCAATGGCCAAGAGCCCGAAAACAGCGGATGCAGGTTGAGGAAGGCGAGTTGTTGAGGACCCGCAAGCACACGGCAGCGTCGGCTTTGTTGGGTCTCTCCCATTACAGATGAAGCGTGCAAGACATGAAATTTCTCGTCGTCCCACTTTGACCCTGGCACACTTTGGAGACCAATTCTCCCGTCCAAATAAAGGCAATTTTCTTCGAATACGCACTGCATTCGCATATTTATCATAACTTCTTATGCGTCCCACATTGAGCCAGTGAGAAGGGTACCTCTCCCCCACTACCCTCGCCTTCTACCCCGCCCCCCGAAGACGGCGAGGGTGAGTGAGAACTTATCACTCACCCTCGTCCCGCGTACTGCCGTCTGATCTGTCCCGCTGCAACGCCGCAAGTTGGGCTACCACCTCCGCGTTGTTGTCTTCCTCGACCGCCATCCCGTACAACTGTATCGCCCGATCCGTGTCGCGGGCCACGCCGTCCGCCCCGTCCCGCATCATGTTTCCAAGACACATCATTGACTTGCTCTGCTTCCGTTCCTTGATGTCCATCTCAAACAGCTCCACCGCACGCACCGCATTGCGCTCCACCCCTTCCGCTCCGTCCCTCAACGTCATCGCAAGATTGCAAGTCGCGTTACCGGAATTTCCTTTCGCCATTGCACGATCATACAATGCCACGGCGCGCACCGCGTGACGCTCCACTCCTTCGGCACCTTGTTTCAGCAAACTACCGAGGTTCACCATGGTATCGACGACCTCACCCGACCTCACCCTTCTCGATAGCGCGCTCATACAGCTCCATAGATCGCACGGCGTTACGCTCTACTCCTTCGGCACCTTTTTTGAGCAAACTACTGAGGTTCACCATGGCATCGACGTCTTCACCCTTCTCGATAGCCCGCTCATACAGCTCTGCTGCTCGCACGGCGTTAACTCTACTCCTTCGGCACCTTTTTTGAGCAAACTACTGAGGTTCACCATGGCATCGACGTCTTCACCCTTCTCGATAGCCCGCTCATACAGCTCTGCTGCTCGCACGGCGTTAACTCTACTCCTTCGGCACCTTTGTGGAGCAAAACACCGAGGTTGTACATCGCCTTGACGTCCTCACCTTTCTCGATAGCGCGCCCATACAGCTCTGCTGCTCGCACGGCGTCACGCTCTACTCCTTCGGCACCTTTTGAGAGCAAAACACCGAGGTTGTACATCGCCTTGACGTGGTCACCCTTCTCGATAGCGCGCCCATACAGCTCTGCTGCTCGCACTGCGTTACGCTCTACTCCTTCGGCACCTTTTTTGAGCAAAACACCAAGGTTGTGCATCGCCTTGACGTGGTCACCCTTCTCGATAGCCCGCTCATACAGCTCTGCTGCTCGCACGGCGTTACGCTCTACTCCTTCGGCACCTTTGTGGAGCAAAAGACCGAGGATGTACATCGCCTTGACGTCCTCACCTTTCTCGATAGCGCACCCATACAGCTCTGCTGCTCGCACGGCGTTACGCTCTACTGCTTCGGCACCTTTTTTGAGCAAAACACCAAGGTTGTGCATCGCCTTGACGTGGTCACCCTTCTCGATAGCCCGCTCATACAGCTCTGCTGCTCGCACGGCGTTACGCTCTACTCCTTCGGCACCTTCTTCGAGCAAAACACCGAGGTTGTACATCGCATCGACGTGGTCACCTTTCTCGATAGCGCGCCCATACAGCTCTATGGCTCGTACCGCGTCTCGCTCCACTCCATCGGCACCTTTTCGCAGCAATTTACCGAGATGAAACATCGCTTCGATGTCACCACGCTCCGCGATCGCCCGCTCGTATAGCTCTACAGCTCGAACTGGGTCTCGCTTCACTCCCTCGGTACCTTCTTCCAGCAAAAGACCGAGATGAAACATCGCTTTGATAGGCACTTTTCGAAGAAAGAATTGCATCCGTGACCAGGGACTTGGAGTTGCAACTATTTCAGCAATGACAGCTTCCGGCCGATTCTCATACCGCAGACGAGCCTTTCCCATCAGGATTTGGAGCCATACACCATAACTCTCCCGAGGGTTCCGAAGAACTACTGCACAAAACTTGAATGCCCTCGCTGCTGGCTCATTCGATGCTGCCTCAGAGCTACAACTGTAGAAATCCCCGAGGCATTCTAGAGCGTATATAGTTGATCCATAACATCTCTTCCGTAATGCGCTTCGGAAAAGACGAAGAGCAGTGCAGCGATCCCGACTTTGAAGTGAGGTGTAGATAGTTCTGTCTTGCTCTGTTTCGCTCTGAAATTTTAGGGCTAGGGATACCTGACGCGTGGCGAACTCATTGAGCGCAGGCTTGAGATTGATATCAACGTATGGGATGCGGTTCAAATGAGGTCTCAACAGAACACTGTCTCCATCCACAAGGTCCTCCGCGGAGATGACTCCTCCGTCTATCTGCTCACGTAGAATGTCTTCACTCCTCGACGGTGTGTCATCCTCTCTTTGAGGCTCTGCAGTGAGAACAAGGGCCGGTCTGGGGGGACATGTAGAATTACGTGTGGCGTCCTTTGGCATGTTGAAGGTTTGAGTTCTGTTGGCGTCCATATCCTCGCTCGCACCATTCTTATACCACTTTTCGTAGGCGTTTCGAGTGCTGGAATTGTTTGCAGAATCCTCACGTCGTTCCGCGTCGACAGTGACGCCGGGGCGAATACGAAACGTATGTTCGTCCAAGCGTTCGATTGGAAACATGAGAAAGTGAATTCCGGCTATACCACTAAATATTTGCTTCTCGTCGGCTTCAGCATCCGAGACACGGTAGTCGGCTTGCAAAGTGACAGTGCCCTCAGGTCCCCCTACACCGGCGCCGGTATCTCTCTGATTGGATGCCTCATTAGAAATAGAAATATCGGCGATAATCTTTTTGGTGACAATAGCCATCATCCTTCGCTGACCATCCTGGAAGTCGAAGTCGGTGTCGATCATCTCGAGAATCTTGGTGAAAAAGAATTCCGCGTTCTGCCAGAGCAGCTTCCGTAGCTTGAAGCCATGATACTTTTCGCAGCTTGAGACAGTGAGGGACACGTCGCGTGCGGCGGTGCTTGTCCTTTCGCGATTCCCCTGAGCTGTAACGACACCGAGCAACCTGGCGTCCAAAGCGACACGAACAGAGTCCTCCGTAGCACTAGCCTGACTAACCTGAAAGGCTACTGGCTCTGCTTCGACGTTCCTTTCCATATCACCAAGGAGCTCATCGACTACTCTTATGATCTCGGGGGTTGCACCATTAGCTGCATGCTCTTCCCGATAGTCTTCGCAAATTTGCTTAAGGTTGGCGGTCGTAACTTCAGGCGGCTCATGGCGGCAGTCCGGGTCAGGGTTGACATAGAGCACGCCAAATAGCTTGAATTGGTCGGGGATCATTGGGCGGAAAAGCGAGAAGGCGGAGAGCAAGCAATCGAGTTCTTCATGAATTGTCTTGCACGGTTTGGGCAGTGGTGACTGTGCCGGGAGCGGTGACGATTGAACTTCTCCGGGACGCCGGTTTCTGAACCCTGGAAAAGCGCGACGTCGCGGTTGCTGCGGACGTGAAGTCGACTGTTTCGTCATGCTGGAGCGCAAGGAGGGGAGAGTGGTTGGGAGGACAGGCAGGAATGGAGAAGGGTTAAAGGGGGTGCCCTGTGTTACCCATTTGTAAGGTGCATGCGGTATGGCACATGCGGGAACACGGGTGAATGGCAGAGATAGGGAGCGTGGGGTTCCAAGGCTGGGGCGTGGTTTGTACACCGCATCGACGTGGTCACCCTTCTCGATAGCGCGCCCATACAGCTCTATGGCTCGTACCGCGTCTCGCTCTACTCCATCGGCACCTTTTCGCAGCAATTTACCGAGATGAAACATCGCTTCGATGTCACCACGCTCCGCGATCGCCCGCTCGTATAGCTCTACAGCTCGAACTGGGTCTCGCTTCACTCCCTCGGCACCTTCTTCCAGCAAAAGACCGAGATGAAACATCGCTTTGATAGGCACTTTTCGAAGAAAGAATTGCATCCGTGACCAGGGACTTGGAGTTGCAACTATTTCAGCAATGACAGCTTCCGGCCGATTCTCATACCGCAGACGAGCCTTTCCCATCAGGATTTGGAGCCATACACCATAACTCTCCCGAGGGTTCCGAAGAACTACTGCACAAAACTTGAATGCCCTCGCTGCTGGCTCATTCGATGCTGCCTCAGAGCTACAACTGTAGAAATCCCCGAGGCATTCTAGAGCGTATATAGTTGATCCATAACATCTCTTCCGTAATGCGCTTCGGAAAAGACGAAGAGCAGTGCAACGATCCCGACTTTGAAGTGAGGTGTAGATAGTTCTGTCTTGCTCTGTTTCGCTCTGAAATTTTAGGGCTAGGGATACCTGACGCGTGGCGAACTCATTGAGCGCAGGCTTGAGATTGATATCAACGTATGGGATGCGGTTCAAATGAGGTCTCAACAGAACACTGTCTCCATCCACAAGGTCCTCCGCGGAGATGACTCCTCCGTCTATCTGCTCACGTAGAATGTTTTCACTCCTCGACGACGGTGTGCCATTCTCTCTTTGAGGCTCTGCAGTGAGAACAAGGGCCGGTCTGGGGGGACATGTAGAATTACGTGTGGCGTCCTTTGGCATGTTGAAGGTTTGAGTTCTGTTGGCGTCCATGTCCTCGCTCGCACCATTCTTATACCACTTTTCGTAGGCGTTTCGAGTGCTGGAATGGTTTGCGGAATCCTCACGTCGTTCCGCGTCGACAGTGACGCCGGGGCGAATACGAAACGTATGTTCGTCCAAGCGTTCGATTGGAAACATGAGAAAGTGAATTCCAGCAATGCCACCAAATATTTCCTTGTTGTTGGCCGCAGCATCCGAGACACGGTAGTTGCCTCGCAAAGTGACAGTGCCCTCAGGTCCCCCTACACCGGCGCCGCTATCTCTCTGATTGGATGCCTCACTAGAAATAGAAATGTCGGCGATAATCTTTCTGGTGACAACAGCCATCATCCTTCGCTGACCATCCTGGAAGTCGAAGTCGGTGTCGATCATCTCGAGAATCTTGGTGAAAAAGAATTCCGCGTTCTGCCAGAGCAGCTTCCGTAGCTTGTAGCCATGATACATTTCGCAGCTTGAGGCAGTGACGGACACGTCGCGTGAGGCGGTGATTGTCCTTTCGTGATTCCCCTGAGCTGTAACGGCACCGAGCAAACTGGCGTCCAAGGCGACAAGAACAGAGTGCTCCGTAGCACTAGCCTGATTAACCTGAAAGGCTACTGGCGCTGCTTCGACCTTCCTTTCTATATCACCAAGGAGCTCATCGACTACTCTTATGATCTCGGGGGTTGCACCATTAGCTGCATGCTCTTCCCGATAGTCTTCGCAAATTTGCTTAAGGTTGGCGATCGTAACTTCAGGCGGCTCATGGCGGCAGTCCGGGTCAGGGTTGACATAGAGCACGCCAAATAGCTTGAATCGGCGGGGGATCATTGGGCGGAAAAGCGAGAAGGCGGAGAGCAAGCAATCGAGTTCTTCATGAATTGTCTTGCACGGTTTGGGCAGTGGTGACTGTGCCGGGAGCGGTGACGGTTGAACTTCTCCGGGACGCTGGTTTGTGAACCATGGAAAAGCGCGACGTCGCGGTTGCTGCGGACGTGAAGTCGGCTGTTTCGTCATGCTGGAGCGCAAGGAGGGGAGAGTGGTTGGGAGGACAGGCAGAAATGGAGAAGAAGGGTTAAAGGGGGTGCCCTGTGTTACCCATTTGTAAGGTGCATGCGGTATGGCACATGCGGGAACACGGGTGAATGGCAGAGATAGGGGGAGCGTGGGGTTCCAAGGCTGGGGCGTGGTTCGTGCGCGAACGTCGTGATATCGGCGTTGGTGCCGTTGTGATGAGCGGGTACGTGGGGTGTGATATGGAGCTGGCGCCACCTGGCAGCGCCAGGGCAGTGTTTGGGGCAGCGCTCAGTGGGGCTGTTGTGCAATGTTTCGCCAGTGTGCTTGCGCAGATGAAGTTTTGATGTTGTGGAGGGTGTCAAATGTCTTTTATGTTTTTTTGTTGTTTTTTGTTATTATTTTAATAATAATAATAATGTTTTGATTTTCCGCATTCAATCTTCACCGTGTGTGTCGTTGAGAGGTGGTCTCGCGAGGGGGTGTCGATCCGGCCCATGCCTTCGCCGTGGTGGTGATACAGTACCCTTGGGTACAGGCAAGATATGCAGCCATATTCCTTCTTCTCGACGAGTGAATTTGCAGTATTCCAGTTCAGTTTCGCTGAACAGAGGACACGTTTGTGTACAGGAGTGGAGCAGCAGCGGGTCAGTTTTGGATCAACGACAACTCCATCCATGATTGGATCCCCGGTTCCGCTAGAAGTTTCTGTGGTCGCCCCTCGTTGCCACTTTAAGTAAGGCGTCCATGCTACCCTCTTTATTGGTCCCGCCGTACTGTATGCGCTCTCCCCACTGCCTGCGTATCGCTGTTCTGTAGCAGCGAGACATGTGAGGCCCTTGCGAAATATCGGGCTTGCACTGTATTTATTTTTCGCAGCACTACGGTCCACAGTAAGGTTGTCCGTAAAGGCATGGTCTGTAAAAGTCACGAAAACGCGTGTTTTGACAGAGTGTTTGCTCATATTTTCTAAACGAAATTTTTTCAACGCGTTGGCAAAACTCACAGCATACCGAAAACTTGGGGCATGTGAGTTTTCCACGAGTTTCACATCCGCCTGATCACGGCAGTGCCGGATCGACCCGTCTTGAAGGAAAACGAAGTGGGTTTTCCGTTCTTTTCATCTGCACAAACGAGTCTCAGACTGCACGGGTCGTATCGATATGCGTCATGGACGCCTCTATCGCTTCAAAGTCCATCAACGGATGAAAGCGCGACAGGATCTGCCACAGATGCCGCCGAAGCAACCGCGAAAGATAGACAAGTAGAAGCTTCTAAAAAACGGTCCTCTCCAATCGGCCCCCCTCAGCCTGTCAAGAAGACAAAACACATCGCCCTTTCGACTGAAGAACCATTCTATCCTTGTGGCGAGCTACAATATTCTCTTCAGCGAGTATTCGCGCAGGTGCACGCGATTCGTCGGGCGGCACAACGATGTACCAGACTTGCGTTTGTTGCGGGCAGGCACCCTGCTGGAGGTCAGTCCGCAAAACTCGTGGTGGAATTTTTCAATCTCGGGTCTCCTTTACGTCCAGCGATTTTGTGGGCAAATGAAACGAAACAGCGCGTTATTTTACGGACAACCTTAAATCGAAACTTTATAAAGTCAATTTCGGCGCCATTTCTTCAACGTACATCCCCTCGGCAATAACATCTTGCAAAACATTGGGATAGCAGTTGTGAATACGTAAAAAGACTGCGAATCTGACGAAGTTTCAATACCCGGTTGACACTTTCTCGACATTTTACCTGACATTTTATACAGGCCTTTTGGTTTCGAAGATATCAACGTACAACGTTTTGAGGTTGGTCAAAAGCCTTCTTTTTTAGGCACTCTAAAAATGGCTGGCTGGTCTCACCAATCGCCATCCTTCCGCAACCCAGACGCAGAATTCAACTGCGGTGGCGAGACTATATATTTCCTTCTTGTTGAGCAAGCGCAAGTCGAGAAAAATAAGTTGAAAAGTAGCCTCATATGAGGTCACTTATCATCTAGACACCAGCTTTTCTTACGGGTATGAAGAATAGCGCAGGAGGCGATTCGTATACTGTAACGGTGCCAGGGATTTGCAGCAGCGCACACTTCTGTAGCACGGGAACAATAACTTGGATGACCCCTTCTTGCCGTGCCCCATTTATCAAGTCCCTATTCATGCCCCTCTCCCTGTGCACAGTCTTTTAAAATTCGTCACACCTCGACAAGAACCATCCAATGAATACTGTAGTTTGAAACCATACTCAGAGTTGGAGAGTGGGAGAATAAAAGAAAAATAACATTCAACATCTCTTTCTTCTTGATATCCCGCCTGCCACCTCACACCATCATTCCTTCGTTCACTCTGTTCCCCTTTTTCACGACTAGAAGGACTATGGTAAGGATTGCATCATTTTTCTGAGGCTGCATTGAACAACTGTCAATCCTTTGATACAAACCTCCCCACTCACCTTTTACAAACAATGATAATATGCGATTATAGCCAGATGGATGAGAATCACTCTTCAGATCGCGCATGTCTTTCATCGCAGACCAACAGAACTGGAAAAACACGCACAGATAGCCTGGTAAATATACTTCACACTGCGCCACAGGTCTTTCGACTTTTGCGTTTGCAGATTTGGTCATGTATGAGTGGGTAGCTCTCCACTTTCAAGTCTCGAATGGAAGAGGGAACCGACGTCGATTGCGTAGACGGAAAAATATCTTGTCGGCGATGATAGAGCATGGAAAAGCGGAGGGCAGGAATGGTCCATTCTTCAGATTTGTCAAATCTAGGGACTGTTGTATTAAAATCGTTCAAACTGGTAGAATCGCTGTTGGCAGCCTCTTCAATGTGTCTGCGGATTCTCATTTTCCAATTCTTCCGCGGTCCGACCGGAACCTGGTTCAACGCTCGCTCGTACAGCAGAACAAGGTACAACAACAGGCACTCATTTCCAGTCTTTCCCCTGCTTATTTTTATATGCTTGAGATAGATGGCGAAATCGAGCAATTCTTCAGATGACAGAAAAGTGCCGCACAAGCGCGTTGAGTCGTGCCACGTCCAGGCGCGCGCTGCATCGAATACGTCGGCCGCCAAGGGAAGTCGCCACTCTGCTTGCCCTTAATGCGGAGCGCAGGTAACACAAGAGTGCCCTCGATGAGTACCTAGTCGGCGTTGGTAACAACAGGCGAGCTCTATCTTACTGGCCTTCTTTTCGGTGCCATTTCGAATGACAAGACTTTTCTTTCTAATGACGGTTGCGATCGGATTCCTGAACGGGACACGTCTGCCAGTTGCCTTTATTTTCAGAATTTCAGAATTAATGAGGGGGCGGCTCGGTTGCGCATTCCTTCTCGAGAAGGGCGTGCAGGAACATCTCAAGACACTTTCCAGTGTTGTGGGATATTGAATTATGAGGAACCTTCCGAAGAAAGACTTGCATCAGACCTCGGAGTTCCAATATTTGTGCCATGGCAGCTCCACGGCTCGTACGACCTTACTCTTCACTCCCTTGGCACCTTTTCAGAATAAAAACCAAGTTTTTTCATCGTCCCGACGTTGTCAGCATTCTCGATGGCGCTCTCATGAAGCATTCTGGATGGCACTCTCGTAAAGCTCCATAGCTCGAACCGCGTCTCTCTCTACTCCCTCGCCACCTTTTCGCAGCAAATTACCAAGATTACCCATGGCGAGGACGTTGTCACCCTTTTCGATGGCGCTCTCATAAAGCTCCATAGCTCGTACCGCGTCTTGCTCCACTCCCTCGCCACCGTCTACCAACAAATTACCGAGATTATTCATCGCGTCGATGTCACCCTTCTCGATGGCTCTCTCATAAAGCTCCACAGCTCGAATCGCGTCTCTCTCTACTCCCTCGCCACCTTTTCGCAGCAAATTACCAAGATTACCCATGGCGAGGACGTTGTCACCCTTCTCGATGGCTCTCTCATAAAGCTCCATAGCTCGAATCGCGTCTCGTTCTACTCCCTCGCCACCTTCTTCCAGCAAAACACCGAGATTATTCATCACGTCGATGTCACCCTTCTCGATGGCTCTCTCATAAAGCTCCATAGCTCGAATCGCGTCTCGCTCTACCCCCTCGTCACCTTCTTCCAGCAAAACACCGAGATTATTCATCACGTCGATGTCACCCTTCTCGATGGCTCTCTCATAAAGCTCCATAGCTCGAATCGCGTCTCGCTCTACTCCCTCGTCACCTTCTTTCAGCAAAACACCGAGATTATTCATTGCCAGGACGTTGTCACCCTTCTCGATGGCTCTCTCATAAAGCTCCATAGCTCGAATCGCGTCTCGCTCTACTCCCTCGCCACCTTCTTCCAGCAAAACACCGAGATTATTCATCGCCTCGATGTCACCCTTCTCGATGGCTCTCTCATAAAGCTCCATAGCTCGAATCGCGTCTCGCTCCACTCCCTCGCCACCTTCTTTCAGCAAAACACCGAGATTATTCATTGCCAGGACGTTGTCACCCTTCTCGATGGCTCTCTCATAAAGCTCCATAGCTCGAATCGCGTCTCGCTCCACTCCCTCGCCACCTTCTTTCAGCAAAACACCGAGATTATTCATTGCCAGGACGTTGTCACCCTTCTCGATGGCTCTCTCATAAAGCTCCATAGCTCGAATCGCGTCTCGCTCTACTCCCTCGCCACCTTCTTTCAGCAAAACACCGAGATTATTCATTGCCAGGACGTTGTCACCCTTCTCGATGGCTCTCTCATAAAGCTCCATAGCTCGAATCGCGTCTCGCTCCACTCCCTCGCCACCTTCTTTCAGCAAAACACCGAGATTATTCATTGCCAGGACGTTGTCACCCTTCTCGATGGCTCTCTCATAAAGCTCCATAGCTCGAATCGCGTCTCGCTCCACTCCCTCGCCACCTTCTTCCAGCAAAACACCGAGATTATTCATTGCCAGGACGTTGTCACCCTTCTCGATGGCTCTCTCATAAAGCTCCATAGCTCGAATCGCGTCTCGCTCTACTCCCTCGCCACCGTCTACCAACAAATTACCGAGATTATTCATGGCGCGGACGTTGTCACCCTTCTCGATGGCGCCCTCATACAGCTCTATGGCTCGTACCGCGTCTCGCTTCACTCCCTCGCCACCTTCTTGCAGCAATTTACCGAGATGAAACATCGCTTCGATGTCACCACGCTCCGCGATCGCCCGATCGTATAGCTCTACAGCTCGAACTGGGTCTCGCTTCACTCCCTCGGTACCTTCTTCCAGCAAAAGACCGAGATGAAACATCGCTTTGATAGGCACTTTTCGAAGAAAGAATTGCATCCGTGACCAGGGACTTGGAGTTGCAACCATTTGAGCGAGGACAGCTTCCGGCCGATTCTCATACCGCAGACAAGCCTTTCCCATCAGGATTTGGAGCCATACACGATAACTCTCGCGCGGGTTCCGAAGAACTACTGCACAGAACTTGAACGCCCTCGCTGCTGCTCCATTCGATGTTGCCTGAGAGCTACAACTGTAGAAATTCCCGAGACCTTCTAGAGCGTATATAGTTGATCCATAACATCTCTTCCGTAATGCACTTCGGAAAAGACGAAGAGCAGTGCAACAATACCGACTTTGAAATGAGGCGTCGATGTTTTTGTCTTGTTCTGCTTCGCTCTGAAATTTTAGGGCGAGAGTTACCTGACGCATGGCAAACTCATTGAGCGTGGGCTTCAGATTGATATCAACGTATGGGATGCGGTTCAAATGTGGTCTGCACAGAACACTGTCTCCATCCACAAGGTCCTCCGCGGAGATGACTCCTCCGTCTATCTGCTCACTTAGAGTGTTTTCACTCCTCGACGACACTGTGTCATCCTCTCTTTGAGGCTCTGCAGTGAGAACAAGAACCGGTCTGGGGGGGCATGTAGAATTACGTGTGGCGTTCATTGGCATGTTGAAGGTTTGAGTTCTGTTGGCGTCCATGTCCTCGTTCGCACCATTCTTATACCACTTCTCGTAGGCGTTTCGAGTGCTGGAATTGTTTGCAGAATCCTCACGTCGTGGCGCGTCGACACGGAGGCCGGGGTAAATACGAAACGTATGTTCGTCCAAGCGTTCGATTGGAAACATGAGAAAGTGAATTCCGGCTATACCACTAAATATTTGCTTCTCGTCGGCTTCAGCATCCGAGACACGGTAGTTGCCTCGCAAAGTGACAGTGCCCTCGGGTCCCCCTACACCGGCGCCGGTATCTCTCTGATTGGATTCCTCACTAGAAATAGAAATATCGGCGATAATCTTTTTGGTGACAATAGCCATCATCCTTCGCTGACCATCCTGGAAGTCGAAGTCGGTGTTGATCATCTCGAGAATCTTGGTGAAAAAGAACTCTGCCTTCTGCCAGAGCAGCTTCCGTAGCTTGTAGCCATGATACATTTTGCAGCTTGAGGCAGTGACGGACACGTCGCGTGAGGCGGTGATTGTCCTTTCGCGATTCCCCTGAGCTGTAACGACACCGAGCAAACTGGCGTCCAAAGCGACAAGAACAGAGTGCTCCGTAGCACTAGCCTGACTAACTCGGTAGTTTATTGGCGTCGCTTCCACGTTCCTTTCCATATCATCAAGGAGCTTATCGACTACTTCTTTTTTCTCGGTGGTTGCACCATTAGCTGCATGCTCTTCCTGATAGTCTTTGCAAATTTTCTTAAGGTTGGCGAACGTAACCGCAGGCGGCTCATGGCGGCAGTCAGGGTCACGGTTGACAAAAAGCACGCCGAATAGGTCGAATCCTTCAGGCATCATTGGCCGGAAAAGCGAGAAGGCGGATAGCAAGCAATCGAGTTCTTCATGGATTGTCTTGCACGGTTTGGGCAGTGGTAACTGTGCTGGGGTCGGAGACGGTTGAACTTCTCCGTGAGACCGGTTTCTGAACCCTCGAAAAGCGCGAAGTCGCGGTTGCTCCGGATTTGAAGTTGGCTGTTTCGTCATGCTGGAGCGCAAGGAGGGGAGAGTCGTTGGGAGGATAGGCAGAAATGGAGAAGAAGGGTTGAAGGGGGTGCCCTGGGCTACCCATGTACAAGGTAGATGCGGTATGGCACAGGCGGGAACACGGGTGAATGGCAGAGATAGGGGGAGCGTGGGGTTCCAAGGCTGGGGCGTGGTTTGTGCGCGAACGTCGTGATATCAGCGTTGGTTGCGTTGTGATAAGCGGGTACGTGGGGTGTGCCTTGGGGCTGCGCCACTTGAAGTGTTTGGGGCAGGGCCCATTGGGGCGGTTGTGCGGTGTCTCGCCAGTGTGCTTGCGCAGAAAATGTCTTGAGGCTCTACAAACTCCAGACTTCTTCAAGCACACTGGCGCAAAACATAAAAAACAACAAAAAAAGAAAGACCTTTCATTTTTTGTTGTTTTTTGATATTTTTGATATTTTTGACATTATTTGTCATTATTAGGATGCATGTAAGGTTATGGGTACTGTAAGTACTTGAGTGTGGCTTGAGGGGAGGTATACTCGCCAAAACATTTGTAGTGATTCTGTTGGTTGTGTCGATGGAGTGGAGCCGGCCACTCTGTACAGTATCTATACAGTACCTGTACAGTACCGGACACCACTCTATTTTCGCCTTTCGGCTCGTGGCTTTCAGCCACGAGCGCCGCCGTCCGATTATATACCTGCGACTACCACCTCTCTCGATCTAGCGAGGGCAAGAGGGAACTAAGTAAAGACTGACCATCGTCACTTTACTTTTACCTGCGCCGAAGCGTAGAGCCTCGATCCCCCACGCGTCTCTACAATCACCACCGCTTCCGCTACCTGACAACGTCTTCCCTCGTCTCAGCTTGGACTGAGATCGCGCTGTCAGCCCAGACCCTCGTGTGCAGCGACAATCCGGATTTGCTGTTACACGATTCTGGAAAATGACGACTAGATCGCAGAGCTCCAAACGCCCCGTCGATCCAAGTCTCGAACATGCCGAAAAAAGGAAGGCTCAACACGAAAAGCTAATACGTCGATGTACCACCTTTTCATCGAAATCCGACATCGGCAAGCAGCTTATCGAAGCTGCCAAATCTGTTTTGGAATGCTATCCCCCTGACGAAGAAGAGGAAAAAGAAATCATATCTGAACATATAACTTCTTTGGTTCCCACGAACGGCTCTTTTTTTTCGACAAAATACTTCAGCGAACCTTGCTTCCCTGTGATGGTTCTTCGACAAGTTTCTGAATTTTATGACGTGTTGACCGTTCCGAACGAGATGATGAAAAATTTTGACCCAACCGTTCGAGCTGACAAGACACTGATGAACCATATTTGGCTTGTTAATGCCTTGAAGCTGCCTATTGAGTCACTACATGACATTCTGGTGGCATATCGCTGTCATAATGACATCACAATTCTGACGAATATCGCCAAACACGTCCCGGTTGAAAAAGAAGCAGAGAACTACAAAGCGGATACTATCAATATCAGCTCTCCCGAATTTCAGACCAACAATACGCCTCCTAGGCTGGATGATCCGCAAGAAACGTCTAAAAAATTCAGCCGTACTACTTTACCAAACCGAGAGAATATCAGGCCTCCTTTTTCACAAGAAGAGCCTCAGATCGCCCAACACGTAACCTATGACGACCCGAAAAAGGCAACAGGGGTGCATCAGTACTTTCGTGACAGCAAATTCTCTGGAAAAATATCGGAATCTATCGACTTCACGATAAGGGACTACAACATTTGTGCGATGCAACAGCAGTTGTCACCGGTACAAAAGGCATCCTTTTTCATAAATGCGTTTTCCGGTCCAGCTCGGACTCATTTTTTCCAAAACGCAGACCACAATATGAACTATGACACACTTTGCGAATTGATGAGACAAGAGTATGACTCGGATGCGCGCCAACTCGCTGTGCAGTCTGAATTGGAAAAACTAAGAATCGAGAAGTTCATGTCTGAAAAAGAGATTACAACGACTTCCCACGGCCTGACGTCGCTAGTTGATCATATTAACTCCTTGGCCCCGCAATGCCCGAAACAATTTCGACATGATTCTAACAAGACAAGGTTCCTCAGAGCAGCAGTCGTGGGACACCGTTGGGCATCCCGCGCAATAAGCCAGATCACAACCCTGAAATTTACGTTTCACATCTTTGTCACGGCTTTGCAAGAAGGTATTCAGTTGCATGAAGAAGAGTCCAAGCATGACACTTCAACTTTGCTACCAACCAATTACCAAAGATATGGACGCGAGCCACCTCGCCGTGATTTCAACCGTTCCTTTGGAAGATCTTTTCATCCCAAGAAAAGCCCGATCGGTAGGGACAACAAAATTTTACGCTGCAGTAACTGCGGAGCTGATGATCATCTTCGCCGCAATTGCCGCACTGGAAATGTGATGTCAAGAATCCAAAGCCGTATTCGCAATGGCGTTCCAGCTGTGCATGTCGTACAAGAAATTGCTGCCGATCTGCAAGAAATTCTGGATTGGAAAACCACGACCGCTACCGCTGAAGAAACGCATCACTCACGACACACCGCCGACGATGATGCAGATCATTCCGCACACGTGAGCGAATCTGAAGAAGAGAGTAAAAAGCTCATGCTTAATGAGTCCGACGTGCACCTTCTGCGCGAACTGGAATCCAATCAAGCAGTGAACACGCTCTCCGCAGACCTCCATCAATTCTCTGATGAACAGTATTTTCATTGAGGCGACGAGGACATCCTCCCAGTCATCGTCGCCACAATTCATCTCGCATTGGCCATTGCACAGCCGTAAAACGCCGCAAACCTACAGACACGTACTGCGTTGTCTCTCAGGTCTTCGTATCATCCCTGACATCACCGCAAGTGGCAAACCCAGGTTTTTGCATTGATACGGGTGCACCGACCTCTGTCATCGGCCTACCCGAACTGAGGCGTATCTTTGCGAAAAACAAACTGAAGTCCCCGCACCTACGCAAGTCTCCAAAGAAATTTAAATTCGCCGATGCAGTCTTCCAGTCACTCGGGCTAGTCGATTTACCTCTGGCCACGCCCTCAGGTATACCTCCTATCTACATCTCACTGGATGTTGTGACAGCTGACGTTCCCGCACTCATGGGCCTTGACGTCATGGACCAGCAGTCCCTAACGCCGAACACCGTGACTAATGAACTGCACAAGTGCGTTGTTTTGCAATCGCGAACACAACACGTTTCCGCGCTCACCGACACGCTGTGGAGCGTTCCCCTTCAACGATATGCACAACACATCTACGCCCCAATGTCCCTTGCGACCTCTTGCTATTTTTCTCAAACACAACTCCGAAAGTTGCATCAGCAGTTTTGTCACCCATCCGCTGACAAACTCCACTGGCGACTCACTTCCTCTGACCAGAAGACTTGGACGCCTCCACTTTGGACACTCTCAAAGATCTGACACGCCGTTGCGATCCATGCTAGCGAATACAAGCCGCCCCAACCCGCTTCAAAGTATCGTTCGGTTCTGAGAACGTAAAATTCAACGACAGACTCATAATCGACATCATGTATCTCAACAACCGACCGGTGCTCCATTTTGTTGACGAAGGAACGCACTTCAGTGCCGCCAAATTTGTACCGGACGTGTCAACCAAAACACTTTGGGCCACCATCCTTGAGTGCTGGGCGACTGTGTACACCGGCCTACCGCACAAGATTCTAGTTGATCAGGGATCTGCTTTTGGAGAACTCTTCGCCAGCATCGGAGCGTCGAGCAAGGTCGAAGTTCAGCGCACAGGTATTCGAGCACACTCCAGTCTCGGTATTGGAGAGCGGTACCACCAGCCTCTCCGATCTACATTTTGGAAACTAAGAATTGACCACCCGACTATTTCCGCGTCAACGCTCCTCTCAATGGCTGTGAAAGCAATGAATGACACCCTCGGACCCGAAGGCATCGTCCCATCCGCGCTCGTCTTTGGCGAATATCCATCAACGAAGACTCTGTCAGAAGTGGCAGACCCACGCGCATCTCTTGAAAGTCGTGCTAGAGTTGCCACTACTGCACGTAAGCAGATGGAACAAGAAATGGCTAAGCTACGGGTACAACGCGCTCTCCGGCATCGAGTTCCAAGAGCTACGAACTACGTTTTCGAAGTTGGACAGCACGTGCTACTATGGCGTGAGAAGTTAGTCGAGAACCGCATTGGAGAGTGGATCGGGCCGTTTCCAATTTTGGCTCTTGACCGAGAAAAGAAACAAGTCTTCCTCCAAGACAGCAAAATAGGAGCGGCTCGTCCGTTCAGTCAAGGCATGGTGAAACCTTACCTGAGTCCTGATGACGCATCCCGTGTCCTATTCCAACATCTTGGACACTCTTTGTCTTCTCGATATAGTCACCACACGCTCTTGACAGAAGTCTTGAAAAGAGGAGACCCACGGTGCCTCAGCCCGCAAATGTCTAATGCCAAGCGCTCGGAAATACATCAGCTCATGAGAAGAGGCACATTCAAAGTCATCCTCAAAGAAGAAATTCCTCCCAATGCCAACGTCCTATCCGCGCGTTTCGTGTTATCAATTAAGTCCACAGTTGATGATAAGGTGAAATGGAAAGCACGTTACGTTGCCGGTGGACACAGGGATAAGCTCAAAAAGCTTCTCGTGCACTCGTCGCAATCTGCACAACCCTCTACCGTACGTCTCGTTATAGCATTGGCCGCGATCTACGGCTTCAAGGTTTGGTCCTCCGACGTAACACAAGCGTATCTACAATCTTCAAAGCCCCTCGCTCGCAAAATATACATTCGTAATGCCGCCCCTGAATTTGAGTTGTCAAACAATGAGGCACTGCTTCTCCTACGAGGCCTGTATGGCCTTGGGGAATCAGGAGACATGTGGCATGACACCCTAGATGCACACCACCGACAGGATCTCGGCATGGAGACGCTCCGCACTGACCTCGGATGCTACAGTCGCATTACCCAGGGACATCTTGAAGGACTTTCTGCGAACTATGTGGACGATATGCTACGAACTGGAACCCTCGAGTTCCATAAACTCTGCGCCCTCACTGGGAAGCGATTCGAAATGGCCAAGGATCAGAATATACCTTTTCGGTTTACTGGTTTCCTGATATCGAAAGATCAAGCGAATACACTGCAACTTGACCAAGTAGAATACGCCAGACAGCTTCGACTGCTCCCGGACGACTGTCATTTCTCCGCATTTG